GCGAACCCTAAGGGCACATTAGTTTCTTATACAACGCGAATAGCCATGGCGTGCAAAGTTTAAAACCCACCGTGTTCCGGTGGGCGGACACGGCATGCCCTCGAAGTGATTCACATTTTATTCAAATAGTTTGAAGTTGTGGCACACACAAGCAGCACGTGTACGATCTGTAGACAGCACGTGTACGGCCTGTAGACAGCACGTGTACGACCTGAAGGCAGCACGTGTACGACCTGTAGGCAGCACGTGTACGACCTGTAGACAGCACGTGTACGAGCTGTAGGCAGCACGTGTACGACCTGTAGACAGCACGTGTACGAGCTGTAGGCAGCACGTGTACGAGCTGTAGGCAGCACGTGTACGACCTGAAGGCAGCACGTGTACGGCCTGTAGGCAGCACGTGTACGACCTGTAGGCAGCACGTGTATGACCTGAAGGCAGCACGTGTACGACCTGTAGACAGCACGTGTACGACCTGAAGGCAGCACGTGTACGGCCTGTAGGCAGCACGTGTACGGCCTGCAGACAGCACGTGTACGACCTGTAGGCAGCACGTGTACGACCTGAAGGCAGCACGTGTACGGCCTGTAGGCAGCACGTGTACGGCCTGCAGACAGCACGTGTACGGCCTGTAGGCAGCACGTGTACGACCTGTAGACAGCACGTGTATGACCTGAAGGCAGCACGTGTACGACCTGTAGGCAGCACGTGCACGAGCTGTAGGCAGCACGTGCACGACTCGAGGGCGTTTCTGTAATTACAGCAACCACAGACTGCAACACCTGCTCACTGACAAATTAAGATCCTTTGTTTGCACAATCTATTTATTTTTCTATCCGTGCGTTCATGTCACTCTGTATAGACTTAAACATGGAGAGAGCAAACTCGCACCTGTACCTAACCTCGTCCGGGCGCCTCTTGTTCTCATTTTGTGAGCGGGTTTGTTTTCTTCTCTTGAATATCCGCGCGCGATTCATTCACGACCATAGAGTAGCTCGCTTGTTAGTTTGCGCAACCCCTTGAATGACCCTGTGGTCACTCCGCGCTGTCGACGGGTCTCCTTTGTCTTCGTGTTGCTGCTGCTGCTGCTGGGTTCAAGCACGGCGCAATCGCCCTTGTAACACAGCCGGGGGTAAAACAAAAAAAAACACTGGCGACACGGAACCATCCGTCTGACAATGTAAAATGGACTGAAAATGTAAGCATCGCCACGTGCCGGCACTGGTGTTAACTCGTGGGAATAAGACGAAGCTCCATTTTTAAAAAAAATGCGTTGTGAATATCATAATGGGGGGGGGGGAGAGTGAATTGGATCATTCGAATTCCCCTCCGACTGCTGAGAAGAGTGTGACTCAACTGCTTTGTTCTCGCCATTTGTTTCGACTTGTCACATGTATAGGCTTTGTTACCTTACAAATCTGATTGCATTTTACTATAATCGCAAGTTACTGTAATCCCGTGCTCCACACGTTAACATATTGTGCGGGCGCATTAGGGAATAAGAGCAAATTGCGTTACAATTGTGCGCGCGCGACGGAGATTAGGGTCCGAAACAATGGAACTAAATCCTCACAGATATAAAATAATAACCATTCTGTAAAGGTCGGCGTGGAAGAGGAAACGAAACATCTCATCTCGACGCTTGCCATCGTGACGGCAAGACTGGTGAACAAATAAAGAACTTGTTTATCCCACACACACAAAACAACAACAACAACTCTGCAACATCCACGATGGGCTCGCTCTGTGCGTGTTTGATGGAGTCCGATCGACCGACGGCACGCTGCAGTCGATCTGCCTCGAGCAACTTCGTGTCCACTGATGCCCGTGCGTTGAACTTCATTCGCGACCGTGCGTAGCCAGCCGTGATAATCGGCAAGGGGGGGGCGAGTGGCACGGGGGAAGGACAATAAACTAAACGCAGCAAGCCGTTTCGACCGAAATGAGTTTTCAATCCGAGAGGTGGTATAAAAGTCCCCACAGCTCGAGAAGGGAAGAGCGGTTCCAGGCGGGCGCAGGAAGCAGCGCACCTGAAAGCGCCACGCGTTGCGGCATTGTTCACACCGCCTGCCCTGCCACTGCGTCGGCGCAGACGCACGCGGGGAGCGCGACAGGCGCCAGACGGCGAACGTCGCCCGTGTCGCCACGCCGTCTGCTTTAGCGGAGGTTGCTGAACACGAATGTCGGACGAAAGGCGTTGGGTACGCGAGCGCAGAGCGTGGGATGAGATTTGTGGGCGTTGCGCTGGTTTGTGCAGGTGTGTGCAGGTAGGGAGCGGCGGTGGAGCGGGTTAGTGCAGCTGCGCTACCCACCTGGCTAAACACAAGTTCGATTCCCGCTCACGGCCAACACCCAGTGACGATTATCCGAACCGTTCCTGGGTCGACTCTGCCTCAAATTAGTACGTGATGCGATGTGTAAGCATCGAGATTAGGGAGATAAAGGCGGACGGGCGTGATGCTGGCCACCCCAGCCTCTCGTGTGGCCTGCAGGCCTTCATAGGTGCTCGCGAACAGCACTTGCCCCAACAGTCTGTTGAGGCTACACGGGGGATCTTTGTCTTTGGTGGGTGACATGTGTGGAGCGAGATAACCGCGCGGTGGCATATTTGGGAAAACGTAAAACGGTATTTAAGGATTTGAGAACTCTGTCTTACCTATTGTTATGACAAAGTATGACAGGAAGTAGAATAATTATATTCAATATCCTGGATGTCAGGAGAGACGTGTGCAACAGCTGCTTTCGAAGTGTGTGAGAGTTGGTTCGTGGTGTGTGATTGACATTGTTCCTGGCGGTGTGTGGCTGTGTGTTATGGATGTTTTCAGGGTGTGCATATTATACGAGGCTCGTGGCCTTTTTTTGTGATCAATTGCGCATGGTGTGAATCAATCCATGGTGTGCGTCAATCCATGGTCTGCGTCATTCCATGGTGCGCGTCAATCCATGGTGTGCGTCATTCCATGGTGCGCGTCAATCCATGGTGTGCGTCAATCCATGGTGTGCGTCAATCCATGTGCGCGTCATTCCATGGTGTGCGTCATTCCATGGTGTGCGTCAATTCATGGTGTGCGTCAATCCATGGTGTGCGTCATTCCATGGTGTGCGTCAATCCATGGTTCGCGTCATTCCATGGTGTGCGTCAATCCATGGTGTGCGCCAATCCATGGTGTGCGTCAATCCATGGTGCGCGTCAATCCATGGTGTGCGTCATTCCATGGTGTGCGTCAATTCATGGTGTGCGTCAATCCATGGTGAGCGTCATTCCATGGTGTGCGTCAATCCATGGTGTGCGTCAATCCATGGAGCGCGTCAATCCATGGAGCGCGTCAATTTATGGTCTGCGTCAATCCATGGTGCGCGTCAATTTATGGTGCGCGTCATTCCATGGTGTGCGTCAATCCATGGAGCGCGTCATTCCATGGTGCGCGTCATTTCATGGTGCGTGTAAATCCATGGTGCGCGTCATTCCATGGTGCGCGTCATTCCATGGTGCGCGTCATTCCATGGTGCGTGTAAATCCATGGTGCGCGTCATTCCATGGTGCGCGTCATTCCATGGTGCCCGTCATTTCATGGTGCGCGTCAATCCATGGTGTGCGTCAATCAATGAAACAATGCTTCCTGAGGAGTGTAGTTAGTCGTGCGTATGTATGTTCGCGAGTATGTATGTATGTCAAACCAAAAACGGTGGATGATTCGGGTGTATATGTTAGACGGTTAAGGGTGTGTATACACGTATAATATGCCAGATAGAAAAATAAGGTATGCGATAGGGGAAAACCCTATTATTACATTTTGGTACTGGCAAAGGAGGTCTAATGATGGGTATAGATTAGTTCAGGGTATGTATGGGGGATAGTTAAGGGCGTGTAAGATACATTAGCAAACGTTGGGTTTTAGAGATGGTTAATGGTGTGCGGTGTGTATGAGTGAAATACTATTTCACGATGAGTAGAGGAGAGATCGTTAACGGTGCGTGTGTGTGTGAAATCAATGAGAATACGGTGTGTATGAGAGGTTGGTGATCGTGCGCGGTGTGTGTGAGTGGGAGACGTTCACGGCAAGTGTGAGAATTAGCTAACGGCGTGAGATATATTAGCACGCAGTGTGATTGAGAGATTGTTAATAGTGTGGGTGACTAGTTCACGGTATGATAGCTATCGGTGTGTATGTGTGTGGCAAGACGAGACAAGCGTTGTGATGGTACACACGTACAGCAAAGGAGGCTTTATCTCTCCTTTTTGAGCGCTACGGAAGCGGACCGCTATGAACGGAGACGCTTTGTGTCCTTCGTAAAAGACAACAGCAAGAACGCACGGCAAAACCCTCGCGTCGCTTTGCATTTCGTGTATCTCCTCTGCCAATTTGGATCCACGAGCCCACCCAGGACCGCCTCTGCGAGCCATCGATGCGCCACACGCGAATTCGTAAATTTCTCGTCGTCGGAAGCCGTTGGGCTGCCGCCGAGATGCTCCACGCGAGGGGAGTGCTAATTGGAGGCGCGTGGAATGGGCCATCAATTAGGAATAGCGCAGATCAGATCACACGGCCGAGCTGAGCGGGGATGGAGGCATGTTTACGAACAGGTGTGTATATGTGTGTGTGTGTGTGCGTGCGAGGGAATGGGGTCTTAAAAAATCGATGATTTAGAGATACACGGGAGGAGGGGGTGGGTGGGGGGGGTGTAAAACATTTCACATCCGCCGCGAAATATTCTTCCTTACGCTTGTAAATTTGGATAACGCGGAGCACGCTCATCTGCTTGCTACCTGCTCAGCATGCAAATACATAACCCTGCCCTGCCCATGGGATCATGAAACGTGAGAGCTGTGGAGAAGATGCACGCAGCAGCAGCAGCAGCGGGGGCTCCGCGTGACACAAAGAGGCATATGCAGTCGACGAGCAGTCGTGGACGCTGACGCTGCGGAGTGGTGGACGAGCGGGCGTGGTGCACGCTCACGGCCACACCAGCAGACAATGCGAACATGGAAACAACCATACCTTAGATTCGTGGTGTCCGTCCTGAGAATGTCCCATGGGCACCGGAGAAGTCACGGCATGGCCCAAATTGTGTTGGGATCCATGGGGCTGCTGCTGATGCTGCTGCTGCTGATGATGATGTTTTTCATGATCGTGCTGTTGCTGCTGATGCCCGCTCGACTCAGCGTCCCTACTTGCAGTCCCCGCCATGAGTGACAGGTACAGGACCCCCCCCCCCCCCCCCCCCCCCCACGTCGGGGGTGCAGAGACCCCGAAGAATAAGGACCACCCCCCCCTCCCGGCGACCACACACACACACACTAGGGGGCTGAAGGGATCGAGGAGGGTCGCTCACTAGGGCAGGGCAAGGAGACGGAATGAAAGCGCCTGTGCGCAACCAAAAAAAAACTTTACATCACGCAGATACACGTCCTGCAGAGTTGGACACTTGTAGCCTCTGTCCCGTCCTCGGTTAACACGAATACGAATTACACTCGCGCTGCGTACGGCTGCAAGCGTGCGTGTCGACGCAAGGGACGAACCCGTGCCACCCAATGCGCGCACATTACTCACGAAACGCCGATGTATTTTACCCAACGCGCGCGCATACGTTGCGTGCGTACGCCGAGCAACGAATTGAGACCCGGGCAGAGATTATCATTCAGTTCGAGGAGAAATCCGACGGTGCCTACAGCTCGCCTATTGTGTGGCAGCTACACGCACTCAGCAGCAGCAGAGCAAGCGAGCACGTGTTGAGACGGAGGAGGCTCGCAAGAGGCACGGAGGAGCTTATGCTGCCGATGCAGCCCACCCGGCCGCTCTTGACGCTCTCCCTTGCCCCGAGATCCCTGCGTGATTGGATGCAGCCCAGAGGCTCAACACACAGGACGGGTTGGTGTGGGTGGAGGGGATGGAGCGCGGACTATAGGACGGGCGGGATGGGATCGGGGGAAGGCGGGGGGTGAGTGGGGTGGGGGGACACGGGATGGAGTTGTGTCGTGCATTGCACGCCTGTGTCTTTGTGCGTGCGGGGAGCGGTGGGCGTAGTGGTTAGCGCACTGCGCGCTGTGAATTATTACTCGGCGGCTCGGGTTTGATTCCCGCTTACAAGCAATGTCCCGCGGCGAATATCTGAACTAGTTCTGTGGCCTCCCCTGGGTCGACTCATCCTTAAGTGAGTACCTGGTGCGGTGCGTCAACATCAGCACTGGGGAGACAAAGGCTGCCGGGCGTGGTGTTAGCCACGCACTCATCTCGAGTGCCGCGTTGACCTTCATAGGTGCTCGCTAACAACACTTATCCAAGGGTTCTGGTAAAGGCTATATGGGGGATCTTTGTCTTCGGGTGTGTGGCTCACCGGGCTGTTAGTAGAGACGAACATAGCGCCACTTAATCAGACAGTCTATAGAGCTAAATGAGCGGTCTTTATCTCTGTGTTAATGATGTATGTGTATAATAATAATAACGTGGCCATGCATGGATTGCATTTCTATTCCTGGGCATCGGCGTCACTTGCATGCTGTGGGTGAACAAGGCTATGACCTCCTCTAGGTCGACTTGGCCTAAAGCCGATCATTGTTACGACATTTCAGTACCGTCGCATGTCCCTTGGAAAGTGCGCATGTGCAAGTAGGTGCGCGTGTGTGTGTGTGTGGATGGGGAGCGGTGGGGTAGTGGTTAGCGCGCCGTGCTACGAACCTGGCCACCCGGGTTCGATTCCCGCTCACGGCCAACAACACAGTGACGATTATCTGAACCGGTCATGGGCCTCCCCTAGGTCGTCTCAGCCTCAAATTAGTACCTGGTGCGGTGTGGAATAAACATCGCCACTAGGGAGACAAAGGCGGCCGGGCGTGGTGTTGGCCACCCACCCCCTCGTGTGCCATGCCGGCCTTCATAGGTGCTCGCTAACAGCCACTTGCCCCAACAGTCTGTTACAGGCTACGCGGGGGATCTTTGTCTTTTTTTTTTGTGCGTATTTATGTATGTGGAGCGGTGGCGCAGTGGTTTGCGCTATGCACTTTGAACTCGGCTCCCCGAATTCGATTCCCCTCCAATGCTAACACCCGTGGCGAGCGGTATCGAAACCGATCCTGAGCCTCCCTCTAGGTCGACTCAGCCTTAGATGGGTTACCTGGTGCGGTGTGTAAAATTCAGCATTGTGGGTGGGGGGGGGGAGACAAAAGCGGCCGGGCGTAACATCTGAACCTCGTTCGCTGTGCCGACCTTAACAGGTGCTCGATAACAAAGCTTTACCAAAGACCCAATATGCGTGCTGTGCGGGTCAGCTTTGTCTTTAGACGTCTGTGTGCGCGTGTATATGTGTCTGTGTGTGTGTACACGCCGGGGAGCGGTGGTGTAGCGTTTAGCGCGCTGCACTACGAACCTGGCGACTCGGGTTCGATTCCTGCTCACGGCCAACACCACAGTGACGATTATCTGAACCGGTAATGGGCCCTCCCCTAGCTCGACTCAGCCTCAAATGAGTACCTGGTGCGATGTGTAAACATCGCCACTTGGGAGACAAAGGCGGTCGGGCGTAGTGTTGGCCACCCACCCCTTCCTGTGCCGTGCCGGCCTTGAAAGGTGCTCACTACCACTTGCCCCTACAGTCTGTTAAGGCTATACGGGGGATCTTTGTCTTTATCTTTGTCTTTGTACACGCCGCTCCTGTCTACCTTTCATCGCCGTGGAGCGGCCGGGGGGGTGGCAAGGGGGTGGCAAGGGGGTGGCAGTGTGGTAATGGCATGGACGCAGAGAGAGAGAGAGAACCAGAGCGAGAGCGAGGAAAACGAGTGACGGGGATGGGTGGGGAGAAGATAGCGAGGGATGGAGATGGCGGAGGTGATTATCTATAGGATAGGGGGGTGGTGCTTGGGGCTGTGATACACGGAGGGTCAGGGAGTGGCGAGAAGACACGGGCCCACTGGGCCAGGTCAGTGTCGTGGCGGTGTCAGGACCAAGGCCGCTTGGAGACGAGGTTGGTATGGGCGGAGAGGGCGGTGCTGGCGATGGGATTAAAGTCGGAGGAGGCGGGGGGGAGGGGGGGTCTCCCGTGATGTGGGGTTTTGTTCTATTCACGGCCCGGCCCTTGCGTGTGAAGGGCGATCGGGATTCAAGGGAGGGCGGCTTGGGAGGGAGTATCGTCAGCACACCGACACAGCACTGACGGAATGAATGCACAACGGGGGGGCACCACGCAGGGGCAGTTCTTGCCAGGAATGGGTGGGGGGGAATCCGCGGCAATGTTTATCGAGCGATCGATGGATTCGAAATGTTACTTCTCTGACTGACTTATACAATTGTGTCGTTATAAAAGTTGTAGTGGGACAACTACGTGGATTCTAGCGTACCCCGCGGTATTCCGTGATGGGTTACGGTCAGTTAAACATCTCAATTGTTGTATGACCTTTTGAAGGTCATCCCTGCTCCAATGAGACCACCACATGTCAATATTCAGTTTTTTCAGAATATTTCCAGATAGAGCAAACACACAAGGACCTCCCTTTTCGCCTGACCGTTGAGATAAGTGCTGTCAGTGAGCACCTATTATATGAATGCCGGCAAGATACACGCCAGAGAGAGAGAGAGAGGTGTGACTAGCACCACGCTTGGCTGTCTTTGTATCCCCAGCTCTGACGTTAACACCCTTGCACCAGGCACTCGTTTAAGGCAGAGACAACCGAAGGGGAAGAGATCCAGGAGAGGATCACATCACCCTTCTCACCGATGTTCATCTGTGACTGTGAATTGAATTCTGATAATTCAAATTCAATTCGCTGGGTTCCCAGCGCACAGTGCAAAATCATTGCGCCCTTGCTCCGTACATAATGGGGCAGGGAGGAGTGCCGCTGCGTAGGGGTTTGAGGTTGTGCTGTACCGCGCGTTGTTCGGCGCGATGTATACGGCCTTTAGCTCCACGTGCCGGGGGCTTCTTCGACAACTGTCGGACACAATTCCAACCAACAAGCGACGCAAACCCCCGAAAAACACACACATCGGAGAGCAATGGGAGAGCGTGCGCGTCTCGGAATTTTGAGATGGAGAGGGTGGAGAGGTGGGCGATGAAGAGGTGATGGCGATGAGAGTTGACATCCTTTCTCTGTTTAACAAGAGTAATTAAATAGCTCTCATACCCACGATTAAAAATAGAGACAGAGGAAAAAAAAAAAACCCCATTTGGGCGCCACAGCGCAGGTCGGTTTTGTGTGAATGCCACTGGAACTCAGGCAGGCTCAGCATCACTCGCGGCAGGCAGCTCTGCACCGGCCGGGAACCTCACGCGGCGGGGTGGGGGTGGGGGGCGCACGGGTGTTGGCAAAGGGAATATGACCACAGCAAGGGGGGACTCGTGTGCGCGTTTATTTATGGGGAGCGGTTAGCGCGCTGCGCTGCGCTACCAACCCGGCGACTCGAGGTTCGATTGCTGCTCACGGGCCAACGCCGGTGACGATTATCTGAACCGGTCCTGGGCCTCCCCTAGGTCGACTCAGTCTCAAATGAGAACCTGGTGCGGTGTGTAAACGTCGCCACTGGGGAGACAAAGGCGGCCGGGCGTTGTGTTGGCTACCCATCCCCTCGTGTGCCGTGCCGGCCTTCGTAGGTGCTCGCTAACAGCACTTTTTCCCAATAGTCTGCTAAGGCGGAGGATCTTTGTCTTTGTTTATATATAATTTATACACAACTAGAAACATCATTTGGGGATGCTGCGTTGGTAGTTCTGCACAAGCACAGATAACAAAAACAACTCAACATATCCGTCAATAACACTGCCTTCAAAGGACAATGTATAGCCGGTGGCATTTCGGGCAATGGCCGTTCCTCATAGAAGGGCCATTGCCTGAAACGTCGCCTGTTAGAAACATTATTTTACAGTGACAGTGTTGTTGACAAATGTGTTGTGTTTTAATCCTGCTGATGCACAACTGCCGAAGCAGTAGCGTCATTGAATAATTGTTCTAAGAGTTGCTTGTTGATAAATGTACTTACCTGGGTCACATGTTTCCCCCCTCTCTAGATGTAGCGAGTGATTCAGATGGTTATTATATTCATTGTATTTATTTTTCAACTGGCGTTACATTTTTCATTGTTTATTCTTTCAGTTCATATTACATCTTTAATCATTATTAACACCTATTTTTCTTCAGATGGCATTTAGAAATGGAAATCAAATTGACCGAACTGAGACAAACCATAAACGTTCAAAAAATACACCTGGCATATTTAAACAAAA